TGGTGCAGGCTGGACCATCCCAGCAGCAGTATTGATGTTTCGGTTAGGTATAGGTGTTGAAGTTGCATGAACATCGGCGGCAACTATTGGATTTGCCATCAACTCCTGCTCAGCATCTTTTGTGAGGATTTCCGACGACTGCTCTACGAAACCGGTCTTCTCGGTGATCGTAATTACGTCATTTATCCAGTTCTGTACTATACTTTCTTTGTCCTGACGGCTTTGTTGACTGCGGTGACTATTCGAAGTTCGTGATCCCTCCTGTTCATCTTGCTGCTTCAGTAAATCGGACTTCTTGGCGAGATATTGCTTTTCCCGATCGTATTTTTCCTTTCTGGAATTTTCCTGCTGTGCTTGTTCTTCCTGGTGCATTCTTTCTATCAGCTTCCTCTCCTCATTGAGACGTTCTAATTCACGACCGATCCTCGCCTGTCGTACGCTTGAGGTTGTAGTGTGACTCGTGACGGAGCTCGGCTGCTTGATCGGAATCCGCGGAATACACAAGGAACACATAAAGACCTCTTTCTGAACGGTGGACTGTCTGAAATTGGCGCTAGAAAGGTGATACCAACGAGAACAGTCCCGACATTGAACCATGTACAGTTCAGCATTGTTGGGTTTGTCACAACCACCACATTCGATCTTATCTCATCCTTCAACATCGATAATAGACGGCTCGAACGAGCTTCGCGACAAGCTTTCCTCCTTCAGTGAATTTCTCTCAGCTGCGAGGTTAGGGGTTTCAGCTTCTATCGCGGCTCGCACTCTCGAACGCGTCTGCCGAATAGTCGAATACCTGTTGGTGGTAGACATCCCAACTTGTCGAAATTCTTCGAGTTTTCTGTTGACGAAGTAATTTTCGGAGATTCTGTGCAGCAAAACTCGTTTTTTATGTGAGTTAGCTCGAAGCTGTAAATGTATAATTTATTAGATTTTGCTTTTGTTTGCAATTTACCTTCATACAATTTGTCTCCAATTAGTGTTTGTATCGGCAACAGAATAAACTAGATTTTATATTGTGTAGCAAGTTAATCTATAAGTACAATACAATTAGTTATTTCATAAGTTTTAATTAGGATAATAAATTCACCGGAAAAACGTTGTATAACTCACTACTGCGTATAATGACAACAATATAATTCACTTATGTCGTTTTCGTTTTTGCGGTGTAGCTACACCGGTGCTACACTGCCGTACACCGAAATAATTTAGGGTGTAGATATAGGATGCACATTTGTTTACAAACAAATGATGTTGAGCTGTCAAAGATTCGCGCTTATTCCTGCTTACACTACACCGGTGCTACACCGTAAAAACGAAAACGACATTATTTTCAACGTTAACAACCTGACAATAGAACCTACTTTGACGTAAGGACAGTTGGCTCATTTGGATGAACCGAGGGGTATAGTGGGCAACGTGTTGCCGGAACAACCAGTATGCGTAGAATATAGCGTAATTTTGTCTTCGACTTTGTTATTAATTTTTAGCGATTCACACTGTTCGGGAGTGAGCCCAATATTTCAACTCTGGATTCTGTTGGACTTTCATCGCGCATGAACATTTCGAGCTGAATACTGGATTTTCCGGAGACCTCATATAACTTCAATCAAGCGCTATTGTGAACCATTTGAATGTGGAAGTGGTACAACGCACGTACAATGGCACTTTTAATAAATTGGACTCAGTCATCGCTTACTGATGGCTCACCAAATTGATCTACCGCGATGGAGTTGATCAGGCCGAACTTTTGTAACGTGGTTTGAAAAGATTACCCTGCTGCAACCAAACACTCATTAACCAATAAGGTGGCATAAGGATTAAACGGTATTTGGATTGTAAAGTTCAATTACCCTTTAGTGGAACAAACATCAAGAGTAGCACCCAACCTAGCAGTAACATTGTGCATAACGACGTGTTCGGAGGAAGGCAATTTCACCATCAATCACAGGATTTCATCATCACATCACCAAGTGAGGACCGTCACAATCAAACCATCATTTCGGAACGATTATTTACGGTTTGGCAATTTTGCGACTAGTTTGGCTCAGATGCAAGAATTGGAATGAAGAGGAAGCTCCACAGTATTGCCTTCAACGTGAGTAAAAAGAAATGGTATATGTCCACTTCCAAGGAAGGACGACAGGCAATACACAATTTAATTGGAATTTAATCCTCTTCAATTCCACCCCTATGGACACGTATTCGGAGTTCGAGTTCTACCAACGCTGGGACTAAGAAGCTCAAAAATCCAGTTTATGGACTAAGGAAACCAATCCATTCGGTACCGATCCAAGCTCTGCAGGTAAAACACATCTAGTATATGCTTTGCCGGGCTGCACATCCTGGATATAACACCACTATAACAAACCAAGCGACACGTTCGCTCCCACGGAATACTGGTTACACTGACAGGCATCCAACAGTGAACTGTTAACCATGGTCTACGGCTGGTTTAGAGGTTCGGATGCTGGTCGCACATCTTTACCCAGGTTAGTTACACCGACAGTGTATGTCTGCCGAAGCTAGAATCCTATGGAATACTAGAGATATGCTCATCCATAACCGGTATTCTACAACGGAGGGTCAACCAACACACCCATCCTCAACGTCCATTCAATGATGTCGATAAATGTAACGGTTACGTAATCAGAGCTACGGTTAACCTGACGGTAGTAATTCTCGAGTCACCTTTCAAATAGACCAATCTACATTGATCGATTCTCTTCATCGACTCTCTTTTTGGTTAATGAAGAGAAGCGATCAATGTTGGTAGATTGATCCTCGCCTTGGTATATTTGAAAAGTGACGCGAGAATTGAGGTTCGACAATTTATACGATAGGTAGTAATATCGGGGATGCATTTCATTCATAAGGCTTTCGTTAATCGATGAGGATGGAAGTTGACAACACAAATGTAAATAGGTTAGTCATTTAATTTAATCAAACCAACGTACACTCAATTTGGGAAGAGGAGCCGCCAGTGGTATAGTGGTAGGCGTGATTGCTTCTCACCCTAAAAGGCCTGGGTTCAATCCCAGCCGGTGCCATCGGGATTTTCTGAGGCATAAAATCTCTGATCAAGCCTTCCTTCGGAAGGGAAGTAAAGCCGTAGGTTCCCGGTTGATGAGTAGTTGATGGGTCGATTGGTAGGGTCCAGGTGTGGGAGCTGCCTCCTATGCGTCGGTAGCATTGGTACTCAGTACGGAAAACAAGATCGACGGAAAACAAATCTAGGAAAAAATGACATACATACACAAGTAGGTCAAGAGAGGCGTTGTGTTGTAGTTAATCCAACGCAAGGTTCAGGGAGAGATGATGGTAAGTTCGGTGAGACAGAGGTTTGGAAAAAGGCCATGTAAACAAAAGGAGGTGATGTGATAGAGATTGAGAAACCACAAACAGGGATGGAAGCACCTGGATGAAAGATGAATACAGCATGGGAGCAGCTGTACATTGTGGGGGGAAACGGGGAGCCTGATACAAGTTTGGGAAACTTAACTGAAGTTTATTTTAGAGAACTTCATAAAAGGATTTCTTTTAGCTTCAGAGCACTTCTTTTAACTTGAAATAACTTCTTAAGGCTTCTTAACTTCTTAGAACTAAAAATAAATCAGGAAATCCCAATTGTTTAACTTCAGGGTTCTTTGCTGAAAATTAACAAAATCCATGAGTACAGCAAACTTCAAAGCAGTTATGAGAACTTTGTAGAAGTTAAGCGAACTACGAAGTAATTCGAGGAACTTTGTAAAACTTGATAGAAATGCTGGGATTTTTTTTAAATTCAAGCAACTTTATAGGGGGATTTTTGGGCCTCCCTAGCTCAGTCGGTAAAGGCGCAGCTACAAAGCAAGATCATGCCGGACCAGATCGGTCTAGGACATTTTTGGGTTGGAAAATCTCTGAGCATAGAGCATGATTGTACTTGCGACACAATTATAATAATGCAAAAATGGTACAGGCATAATAAGCTAATATGCGATAAGCAATAAGCTTGCAATGCGTACAGGAAGAAGAAATACTTGTATGAGTTCAGCCGAAATTGTAGAAGTTCAGGAAATTTCGTAGAAGCTCAGGGAGTATTGTAGAAATTCAGCATACTTCTTTGAACTTCAGAAATTAGTTTAGAAATGTTGAGATCTTAGTTTCGCCCAGATATTTTTGATAATTGATACCAATGGTTCATGGTCTTTCCTGATGTTTGGAGAAGGTCATGGAAGTTCTGAGAGCTTGGTCGAATTGAATGAATAAAAAAAAAACGTTATGGAACTTGGTTGATGAAACTTCAAGAAGTAAACACCAGAGAACTTTGTAGATGTTCATGGAACATTAGAGAAACTTTTCCGCCCCTCAGGTTTTTTGTTTGGTGGTACGGTGCTGAGTACAGTCTGAGGTCAAGTGGAATCTAATAAATCGCTAAAATTGGAGAACGTCAAGTCTGATCGATTTGTCAATGGCTTTTGATGTAGAATTTTCGAAAAAAAAAGTACGCCTTATGTTTAGGAAAACGCACCAAAGTAAAACTCAAGCCTCGATCGAAATCTCGAATACGATTGTGGTAATGATATACACTCTCTGACAACACTTCCCGAAAAATTGTTTGATAACAACAAACCGTGCCCAAACAGAGAGAATGAATCTGCTTCGTAATTTGCTGCTCCCAATCTCTCATTTTCGAACCCGTTCCTCTCCCATGCTCTTCCGTTCCGAGCGATATTCATTTTCGATGTTATATGCTTCCTCCTTGTTCTCTTTTCCGTCGCGAGGACGCGCATAGAATGCACCACCCCCCGTATACACCCTTTTAGCTGGCAGCTGGACGGATGGCGAAGGGAGGAAGATTGAAGACAGAGAACAAGACATACATAGGAAGGAGCATAAAAACACCCGCCGGTCGGTCGGTCGGTCGCTCGGACCGGTTCGCGCGAGAGCATCGTTCGTGACAGGTTCATTCCTTCGTTGAGGGTCGTAGTGAGCGGATGCACTTTGTCGGTTTTTCCTGCGGTCGATCTAGGTACGGTAGTAGGTCCTCCGGTGGCAATCATAAGAAGAGTCCCTGCCAGTGGGGGAAGCGAGGTGGTTGTGGGTGTGCGCGTAGTGGTACTGCACAACCGTCCGTGGCGTGCGTGGTGTGGTGCAACGCCGCCGGGTAGGTGCAGGAGAATTTAAAGAAAATCGCTGTCGGTGGCAAGTTTTTCGCGTCTAAGGACAAGGACGAACAGCGGTGTGATAGTTTTCCGGACGCTTCCCGAAGTCTCGCGGACTCGGGCTTACTCTTTGAAGAGTTGAGAGTGAGAGTCAGTTTATCGCTGTATGGTGTAGTTTTCATTGGGGATTTGAGAAAAGCAAAAAGCTAATTAGTGACGAGTGCGCGGGTGGCAGGCAGAACGTGTCTTGGCGGAATCGTGTAGGACGAGCTACTGGGGAATATTGTTGTTTATCAGTGGGAACCCGAATCGAGCGAGGAGAGCCAACTGGGAGATATTACCACCCATCTACCATCGGAAGAGGAGTCCAACGAGTGAGAGGGAGAGAGTGAGCCTGGGTAGTGTTGACGTTGTCGAGTGGGTGGTGGTTGTTTGAAGCTGCGTAGTGTTTGTTTTGAAGTCCATATACGAAAAAAGAAGACGGTGGGTAGTAGTGAATGAAGAAACATTGGTTAACTTTTTTTTTAATCTGTGGTGCGGTAATTCTTAGCAGCAGTCAAGTTGTTAACGGAAAAGAATCCCCCGGAAAAGCGGAAAATCGGCTCCAACCTCCAATGGATTAGCTGGGTTCAGTTCAAAGGATTTGAAGCGAAAAAAAAAATTGTGGAAATAACCCGCAGAAGTAGTTGAATATATGTGCTGCAGAGTTGTTGAAAACCCGGTGACCGGAAAATAAAAGTTGCAGTACTCAGTGCTACAAACGGGAGTGTGCAGTCGACGTTTGAGTTAGTGGATTGGGTGCTGAAGTGACCTTCAACGTATTGATTTTTGTTGCATCAACGTTCTTCCCGGAAGTAAAGAGGAAATTGAAAAAGAACTGCACGTCACGTGAGAGTGAAGGGCTTCTGATAAATTCATGAATAATTCAGTTCCATTAAAGGATAATCCGTTTATCGTGGAATCAACTGTTGGGGAGAAACTATGGTCATTCGCGTAAAATTTAGTGATTAATTATTATTGAAGAATAATTCATGCAGTGGAACCAGTCGTATTGATCGAGTAAACAACAAACGTGTTTGCAAACGTCCAGGTGTGAAAACAAATTGAAAAAAAAAAAACATTAAGTGTTTGTGCAGTGCTCGAAGTACAGCCATCAAAAAAAGTTTTATCAAAAGAAAACAAAAATTGTGTGTTTGGTTACATTGCCTAAAAAGAAAAAGCTAAAAATTGCTGAAAAATAAAATACTCAAGCGAGAAAAAAAGCAAACTTGTTTATTCATATCTGCATTCGCTCATGACCCGGTAGATTTGCTCACTGTTTGGATTACGGAAAGTTGGACAGACAGGAGAACGGTGCATCCGTGCATAGGTTGGCTATTTTGGGATCTGCATTGCCACTGTTTGTTTTGGTAAGTGTTTATGCATTATATTTGTTGAGTCCCTGTTTTAGTACTTTGTTGGACAAGTGGTATATGAGGTTTGGATGATCGCACATGCATTGCTGTTCAACTGAAGTAAGTTGTCGATTGATTTATTAATCTATGAAATAAATGCTTTTGATGGAAATCAAAAGCACACAGTGTAGTGGCTTCAGAAAAGATCCTTATTCTAATAAATCATTATGTCTTGTAGTATACATATCATTAAAAAATTCTGAAAAATTGCCTGGTTGTTTATAGTATGATGCTTGATATAGATATAACAACCATGCGTTAAGGTGATATGATACAGAGTCCACAAATACCAGCAGGATGAATGAAGGAATAAATCTCAGATATCAAGCATGAATTTAGCTTCACCATATTTGATCTATGGGACAGATTTTCTGGCAGCTGATATTATCCACTTCAAAATTTACCGATATCGCGTACATCAAATTATAGTAAAATTGTTGAACTTTATTTTAAGGCAATGTTTATGGTTTGTGCATAACTTGGACAAAAAATATGGCCTAATAATATGTTTTCTGCATAAAAAAACAATACATATTATTTGTGAAATAAAAGCTCAAAATTTGTATAAATCGTTGATGTTGTACGATTTGGTTTAGTTGTGAAGTGTACATTGTGTACATTTAATCAAAGTCAAAAAAATTGATCAGCTTTAACATAAACATAAATATAAAAATCTTGTTCTTATTTTTTATTGAAGTTTTTAACAGACTGTTTTAAATTTTTTGACGAAAATTTGGGATTTGTTTTTCAGTGTGTATTTTTGTTTTCTGAAAAGTCAATTCAGTCAGCCTTGCCAAATTTTCCGATTTATCAGTATTTGTTCTTAATTCCAAGCTCGATATCGATATACCGATACAGTTCCTCCTTTCTACCAATTTTTGAGGTTCTATACCGATTTATACCGTTTTTCTTTATATTTGTTTAAACTACAATATTTACAATCAAGTTTAAAGTCAAGCTCGATTGTTCAGCCAAAAGCAGAAACATGCTCTCTTTCAATGATCTTCAATGATCTTCTGCAAACAGGACCAACAAGTCAGGCTTCAATGTTTTGCATTGTCGTCAATTCTAGCGTCCGCCGGTTTGCCATAACAGTAGATGTGAGGAAATTGCTTCGACAAGCTGTGTTTCATAAGAACGATCGAACTTTACAGCATTTGACGCAAAATTACATTCGAGGCATTTAAAACCCACGATACATCCCAATTTTTAGGGACTTCTATGGCAACAATGCAGCTGACAGCAACGAAATACTAGAGTGAGGTAAAATTTGAAATTTTCGCTTCACAGTGCTCAAATTAGCCTCCCAAAATTTGAACTCATTTGGTAAGAAACTGATTGACACAAACTATTTGATGTTTATATGGGAACTACTATAGGAAAACCAAGCTTTTTGTTCATTGTCATATTTATCCATATTGGTCTCAAGAAAAGCTCTATAAGTATTTTAATATAAAATTTTCTCAGCTACAATTTTGCGGAATATTGTTTGATATTGATATTCCTATGGCATGATTTAGAAGCTGTTTTGTGGACAACACTGTATTGTGGAGCGTGAGATAGTAGCTATGATTTTGTAGCTCTACTTCACGCGCTAGAAACACGAATTTTACCTGCTAAGCAGTTTATTGAGCATAATCGTAAGACACCAGTGACATTATCGATTGATCGAGCAGATTGATGTATTGAATTGTTAGAATGATATGAACAATTAAAATTAATTTTCCCATAGTAATTTCCTCTTATTAATTTCAAATGGTTTGTGTCATTGTTCCGATTTCCGAAAATAAAATATCAGCGAAACTATTTTCGAATGACGTAGAACGCACCATTCATAACATATAAAAACATGCAAATCAAAAGTTCATCAAATAAAAATAAAACCAACGAAAAGGTTTATGTACAAATTATTATTATTAAAGACGATCGAAAGTAATAAATGTAAGATGCAAATAAAAACGCATGGGTATTTCATTTATTTATCTTATTTATCTTATAAGTTTAAAACCAATTTTCCAATAGTCTATTGGTGCAAGGGTAAGTTGAAGGAAAGTACATGCATATCTTGCAAAACTTATCATATTTGATGAACAATCACGTATAACTTACGAAAAGGGCATATTTTCTACAAAAAATTGATTATGATGAAAGTAAATTTGAAATATCTCGAAAACTGTTACAAATAGGAAGTTTATCGATACAAGCATTATCGTTTGAAATGATTTTTATAATTATATACTGACATCAAACTGAGCATTTTGCCGTAAATAATGAAAGTTTAAAAAAATCCTTAAAAGTTGCTCTTAGAAAAACTTTTTTATTAAAAGTTTGTCCATCCTGGAGTTGTTTTCAAAACTTCTGCTTGCTATTCAAGTTTTTTATTAAAAAATATAAAATAAATCAAAAATACTTTTTTTGTTATTTGAATTTTGAGGTTTATTTTTAATTTTTTTTGTAGAAAGACGAAAAAACAATTCCATGTATATTTTTTTTATAAAGCCTTATTAGTTTCCTACAACTCTTTCTTAGTAAATTTTTTTCTACAACCAACTGTTTTTGAACTACATTTTTTTTTAAAGTATGTGTGCAAAAACACATAGGCCCTTTTCAAAAATTACCCTTGAGTCAAAAGGGTCTCCTCTCCTGCGGAAAATACATGGTCTATCATACTGAAAATATGGGCAAAGCATCATCCAAATCGAAGATAGTCAAGTTTGGTGACTGACCGATTTGGCGTGGAATTGGTCTCAACTCACTTTATTACTCAATGAGTTCATATTTTGGGAGGCAAATCAGGACCCGACTTGGAAACGTTTAAGCACTGTGGAGCGAAATTTTTGATTGAACTACTGTCAAAGAGAGGGGGTTTTAGCCTCCTTAAGTGAAGCGCGTATCCAGAAACAAATTCTAAAAGAACTTAAGCAGTATCAACCGTCACTAGAGCTTGATCGCTCGCCATCCATCAAAACATTGATCTTTTGAGCATCTCAAAAACTGATTATTTCGCCAGCGCAAAGATATTCGATCAGCGGTTACTTACAGGAGCAGCTGTAATAAGGACGATGAACTTCGAGGCTCTTCAATCTTGGTGACTGTCCTTTACAGAATTGGTCTATGTATGGAACGACCTGTACTGCTTTGTCGATGCTTTTTCAAAAGGCCACTGTGAAAATGTACAATGAGCTATAATTTTTCAGGATGTGCATGGTTCTTAAATTTGGCTGCGGGTACATCAACTACTCAATTTATCAGTATTGTTTTGGGTTTTGACTGTATGAAGCTTGAGTAAGTTAGTAAAACGCTTGTTTTTTTTTAAATCCTTTTAAAAGCTGCTATTTCTTAAAGAACAAAGAACTAATTTAGCTAAAAATTTGCGCATTTTTTGTCAAAACGTTGATCTTTTAAAGCTTTAAATTTCACAAAAATGCATACATCAAAGAATTGCCACTCGCCAAGACATGCTTGACATGCAGATTTCCAGTCTTGATGTGTAAATTTACAACGTTCGTCATTTTCGTTACAGCGGTCGGCTATGTCAGTAACGTTGCACATTCGACCGGAACATTTGTTCCAAAGTGAAAATTCATGAATATTAAAAATGAAATGAATGAATTGAATAATTAAATTCAACGGAAAGAAATCGAGCCCAATTCAAGTCACTTCAGGCGTCCCCCAAGGCTCTCATTTGGGACCTCTCCTTTTTATTCTATACGTAAACGACATATCTTACATTCTCAAAAAACTTAAATTGCTTATTTATGCCGACGACATGAAGCTCTTTTTGGAAATAAGAAATGAAGAAGACATCAATATATTCCGGAATGAAATACACATATTCTACATATGGTGCAAAAAAAGTCTACTAGAATTGAATGTAAAAAAATGTAACTTAATATCATTTAGTAGAAAAAGAACAACTTCAAACATTTCAATTGCATTAGGAAATCAAACTGTAGACAAATGTGAAAGAGTTAGGGATTTAGGAATTATCTTAGACTCTAAGCTAACTTTCATAGACCATTACAATACAATTATTCACAGGGCAAATAACATGCTAGGCTTTATCAAGCGCTTTTGCTATAACTTTCAGGACCCTTACACAACTAAAACACTATATATTGCCTATGTGAGGTCAATACTGGAATATTGCAGCATTGTATGGTCTCCATTTTCAATCACGCACGAAGAAAGATTAGAATCAGTACAAAAACAATTTCTATTATACGCTCTTCGTAAATTAGGTTGGACTTCATTTCCTCTTCCATCATATGAAGCACGCTGCATGCTTATAAACATACAAACATTAAAAGAGCGTCGTGAATATGCAATGGTTTCATTTGTAAATGATATCGTTTCGCAGCGAATTGACTCAACAGAACTTTTATCAAAATTAAATTTCCATGCACCCACTCGGCAACTCTGAAATCGAAATTTATTTGCCATAAAACATCATCGCACGAATTATGCAAAATATGGGCCATTAAACCGCATGATGGCCTCTTACAATAAACGCTGCGAAACCATTGACTTTACAATGTCCCGGCATAAACTAAAGCAATATTTTTATTCCATAAGAAATAACAACTCATAAAAGAAAAGACAAGAAAACTGACAATACTTTTTTTTATATAAATATATATTTAAGATAACAAAACTGTATTAGTTGTACTAGTCTACGTTGGTTGACGAAATAAATAAATAAGCAACCATTGACTGCGAGAACCATAAAGTGCAAACATCTTTATATCTGTGTGTGTCTCATTCTTTACTCCTCACCTAGCTGGGAGCGTTGGACAAATAGAACGGCGAATAATTTGATCAAATCTAATGCCCTTTATGTTGAGAAGATCAGTACTTTATAAAGGATGACTTTTGAGGCAAGACAAGGCGACCTCAATAAGTAAAAGGAAAAGGATGTACTTATGTCCACAACAGGTACAGCAAAACATAACATA